AACTTGGCAGTCCTTCTGCGAAGGACGCCAATTATGTTTTGCTTCTTCCACCTTCTCAAGAGACTCGCGTGCGCTTCCCACATGTGTAATTAGTCTCGAGTCAGCGGTAAACTCCTCCTGCTCGACTGCACTTCTACCGTGGTATTATTTACATCCTCCTTGAAGCGCCTGTACCCATGCATCCAGGTCATTAATTTTCCCGTTTACAGTGTCTGCTCTGTTTTTCCTAAATCTGTCCCAATCTGTAATTCTATGCCCCCTCACTTTGTCTTTATGCTTCGCAGCGCTAACGTCGTGGAAAGGATATAGTGATCACTTCCTAGCGCTGTCCCGTGTTAATCCACTTTGCATTACTGATGCCTCTAAAAAACGTAAGGTCTGGGGAGGTATCCATGCTTATGCTGTTGCCTATCCTCGTATGATCTTTGGATTGTTTAACAGCGTCATCGCAGATCCCGGGCAACTTGCCAAAGCCGATTGCCCTTTGGGCTGGCTCGAATATAACCCCACTCCGGGTGAGGCGCATTGAAATCTCCTACCACTATAAGCGGAGCGCGAGCTGCTAACCGTTGAGTTTGAATCAGAGTTGTGGCAAGCCCAATCCTTTATCTTTTGGAGAACTATACACATTAAGTAAAACAGACTCTTATCATACTTTCGTTTAGGCAAAATCTCAAGCAAGACATAGTCTTACCTGCTGCTATCTACGGAATGCTGAATGGCAGTGATGTTGCGATGGACTAGCACGGCTGTGAAGACGCGTGATACGCCCCTTGAGTCAGTTCCTGGCGCTGTAAATGCCTTGAATCCAGGTAATTTTACGGAACCACTAGCCTCCTGTAGGCTATTATGTCTGGTTTACTGTCCAGATTTTGTACGTGCAACTAGCAGGTTACCCCGCTTTTGACGAAAGCCCCTGCAGTTCCACTGCCAAACCTCAATTTGCTGGCGAGGCGCCATGATGAGGCACCAGGTTGACTAATGGCACTTGGCCACCCACGGGAGGCAGTCTTGCCTCCAATAGAGTATGAAGCTGCTGAAACATGCCCATGACCTGGGTTTGGAGAATCCTTAAATTCAGTGGAGAGCATGCCGAGACGCTCCTCTATTGTGTCTAATCTGGCTTCGATCTTTTCGACTCGAGCCTCCAACCTATCCTGTCTTTTCCCTTGTTTGCCTACTTATGCGCAAGTGTTGTTACATCCGACTTAAGACTAATTACCTTAAAAACAGGCTGTGGCATGTCTACTGGTGACGTTTCGGCTAATCGTTTTGCGTTAGCTACCTCATCCCCCGGCAGTGGTCTCTTCACTGTCCCCCGATTCTCCACTTCCATAGCTGCACTCTCCTGTACGCGAGCAGACGCCTCTTGCGTCGCTTTCTGTAGGCCTTGCACTGCTGGTGCCTGTGTCCCCTGCCGTTGGTCGTTTCTAAGTGCGCGTTCCATCTCTGCAATTCTGTTTTCCATTCTTTTAATCAAGTCTCCCTGTCGCTGAACCAGCGCTGCTAACTCCCTCTCTCGAGCGGTTTCGTTCTGGGAGGCCGTGCTTGACAAGCTCACCTTTTTGTTGGTGTCGCGTGCGCAGCTGTTGGTACTGGATGCTCGTCCACCATCTTGGCCGCCCCCGCGCCCTGGCAATGGCGGGAAGGAACTCGACGGTCCCTGCTTTGCTTCTGCCTTCTTTACCCCTCGGTGACCGCTCCGTGGCCCTCGAGGAACGCTTATCGTTGCCAGCTTCGCTCTCTCTTTCGATGCTCTGCTGCCGGCCTGTCGGTGGCTTGCGAGCCAGGCGAAACTTGCAGTTCCGGCTCCCTGTGTGATGCGCACCATGGCACACGATGCAGTCCGGCGTGCACGTAGGTGGCTCTCCTTCTGGCGGGGCAGGATGGTCCTTCCCGCAACGGTGACAGAGTTGCTCTTCGGACGATAGCAAACGTCCGCTCGATGTCCAACTCGTCTGCAGTTTTAGCAGGTCTCGACTAAATTTCTGTACGGGAGCACAGCGTAAAGACAGTTCCAGTAAAGTAATCGCCGGGGTATGCGTTTTCCCCCGAACGTAATCTGAATCGCCTTGACTTTCCCAGAGGTCTCGCGTCCAGAATGTCTATGCCTTCATTCTTCTTCAGAACACCGCACCCGAACTTCTTCCACTGGCATCCATCATAAGGCATTGTAAATCACTCCCCGCTACGGAGTTCTTCAACGGCGCCACGACTCCGAAACCGGCAGGTCACGATCACCCAGCTTGAGCGTCTTCACAGTCGCATATGCCCCACTGCGATTTATGCACGTGTGCTCACCGTCAACGTGTTGTTGTGCCATTAACCCGCACAATGTCTTTCTTCCGCGGCAATCGCACTCGTTAGACGCGCTGCTGCTCTCAGTGCACATCCGAGTTCTCTCGCTGTCACAACACTCAAGTCCAGTTCTGGGGCCTGTACACAATCTTGAAATCCGTGGCTGGCAACTTGAGAAACGGTCCCGCGTTTCTTCCATACCGGCGCTTTCCCCCCACTTGACTTGCTGCGCTCCGTGCGTCTTGCGCCCGTCGCTGCCGGCCTGCGTCCTCGCAAGGCTTACTCTTGGCGTTGTCGCCATGCCTGAGTCTTCTTAAATCGGTCCTGTGCCTTCAGCACTGGAGCCCCACTCTCCCGCTTCAAAAATCTTCGGGCGTTATAGTCTCCCCTTCGACGTAGTACTTCCATCTTCAGCCAACAAGACCCACGGTCACCGGGCGCAAGTCAGACGCCCGGGCGACGCGCCCAGGCCAGGCTTGGCCTAGGAGATAGGCCTAGCCTTGCCACCGCGGGTTGATAGGAAATCTCGGAAACTCCAAAAACGGGGACAAACTTGCCTAAACGAGTGGTGTCCGTAGGTACAGGGCAACCTCCTGCAGACGAGCCCACTGACAGCAAGTCCAGAAAAAAGCGCGTCCGCCGATAGTCGGTCACCGGGCCGGAGCTCATGCGAAACACGTCCGCACAGCGTCTCACTCCAGCCACCAAGCCATCCTTTGGTATTCCATACCGGCACGGCGTTACATAGAACCAAACAAATCGTAATGATGAAGTGAATAATAAGAACAGCTCGATTCAAGCATTACTAATTTTAGTTACGTGTAAAAGTGCCTACCTTCAGTAAAGAGCGTAGTGGAGAAGCCTAGTTACGTATAAGAGTGCGTACCTTTAGTACAGAGCGCAGTTGAGAAGCCTTGGTGTCTTCCAACTTCAATGCGCTTCGGCCAAAAAGTCGCCAGAGCGAAGACTGCTGCCTCCTCTGACGGGTGGTGCGCGGCGTCTGAACAGCGGACCTGTACCAGCGGCAGTTGAAGTGGAGACGCTAGGTGCGTCGGCGTCTCGTCCAGTGCGCGCGCATCAGTGGATCGCACCAGAGACGCTAGCGCGCGTTCTTCTAGTGGCGCTACAATTCTCAGAAAACCATGCAAGTGCCGCGATGAGCGGGACGCGTTCGGGCGTGTCTCTTTCGTGCAATGTCTTTGTGAAAACAAGGCATCCCTGGCCGTGGCGTCCCCGATTATGCCAACACCTCCTGTGATCACCGTTTCATGCATCAGGTCCAACGCTGTGAAAGCTATGCGAGTAGTTTGGTCGGCCATTCGTGCTCGATGAGATGAGCCCGAACGCGCTTGCACAGCGTCATTGCCAGCTGCAACTAAAATATCAAGAGGCGAGAACAAAGATACGCTAAGTGATCCAGAAGAAAAATAACCATAATCATGGTCATGGCGGCAGCATTTTCGATGGATGCAAAAATGTTGGAAGTTCATGTGCATATTCTCGCTCAAAATTTACGTGCACGTTAAAGAAAGTCATGCGGTATAAATTTCTGGAGCCTTTATTACGGCGTCTCTCATGATGACGTGGTGGTTTGGGAACATTAAACTACAACGGTTATTAAAGAAACTATGACTGAAATAGAAATATCATCGTACTATTTCTTAGTGCGAAGGCATTCAGTGCAAGAAGTCTCGATAGTCTGCACTGTGCTGCACCTGATGTATGAAACGAAGCATACCTAGAGGCTTGCTGCGGGAACAATTCGTTAAGGTTATGACCCGCAATCTATTACGAGCAAGAACGTTGACATGAGCCTAAACACCTATCACTGTGCTGACAATTTCATTGATTTGTGGGAATTAACGTCCCAAAACGACCATATGATTATGAGAGACGCCGTATTGGAGGGATCCGGAAATTTAGACTGTGCTGGCGAAGCTTCCGAATGTTTCATACGGCATGGTTGTGTTACATCATACGAAAACCTGAGGATCGGCGCGAAATTTTAGCATAGTTATATAGAAATAACGTGGCATCTTTGGTGCTGCGAAAACATCTCAGGTCATCCTTGTTCAAGCTTACCTGATTGTGCAATAAACATAGACGCACTCTTAATCTCACTAAGTCTTACTTGAAGGTTCTTAATAACAAAGTAGAATACTAGCAGAGCTACTGTTATTTTATCAACTATGTATAGAAAGCAGCGGAGCCAGTTACTGTTGTTTAGTTTAACATATAGCATTGTAACTCTTAATGTCTATTTTCACTGTATACATCTGATGTAAACAATAAATCACCCGTAATAAATTGCCGATTTAGGGTAAACTATAAGTCTTCGATAAAACACAATAAATAAAATGAGCCGTGGTATGCGGTTACACACTCTAGAGAAAGTACCCTGTCACACTGGATTCTGAGAATGTGCTCATAACAACGCACTTTTACCTTAAACACCGCATTTTTTCACCTCCATAAGCAAAATTTAACAGACCGCAGGTGCAAACTCTACGCCTATTACAGACACACACGTACTCAAACCTCGCCAAGCTTCACGTTTAGTATCCTTATTCATCCACAAGCGACAAATGCTCCTCGTGTGGACACACGGCGACACTTGCACACACGCTCTGGGAATGTAAAAACATTCCTCTCAACTCTACCTCGAACACGTGGGAGAGGTCTCTCAGGACCTCACTTCTCACCGACCAGCAATGGGCCGTCCAGCAGGCCCACGAAGTAGCCGCCAGGCATTCCCTGTCAGTCCCTATGTGAGAGACGCCCGCTACGAGCTAAGCGCATCTTGCAGAACGGAAATAAAGATTTCTTTCATTCCATCCATTGTTTAATACCTCGTAAAATTCACTAGTAAAGTACCAAATAATACCCAGGGTTTCATATCCTTCTGCGAAGCCTAATGGCAGTATGCTGCTCACGTAATATATAAAATGCAGATTCGATTTTCATTCGCAGGAAGTTCGGTATGATTGTGTGTTCGTTTCTCTTTTCGTTTCCAAAACGGTATGGCGGGAACCATTCTCTGTTTACTATTTTAGACCTTTCTAACCTACACGAGCTCTCACTCCTTCTTTTTGCCTTGTTGGCTTCTTTTATCTGCTTGCTTGAGTTGGTCACGATGAAAAAAAAACCATATATGCTTCCGTCAAGTTGGTCTCCTTAGTTTCTGTTGTTGAAGTTCAACCTGACGTTCTCTTGTGGCAGAACTGTCTGTACATGACTATTTCTTTGCAATGTTTCAAAACCTTCCTGCTAATAAATTTGTGTTTCCGGAAAGAAATTATCACAATAATTGACTGAACTAATATCTCTATGCAGAGAGATAGTCTCAAAATCGATGTGAGAGTAGGCAAAATGTTTTAGTATTAGAGCTTCTTTCTTTCTGAAGTGAACGATAATTTAAGGGCATTCATATGCAGCAACAGGGACCATTTAAATAGAATGTTTCAATTGAACAAATCTGCTGTAGATTGGACATGTAAGTGAAAGCATAACACTGTTAAAACTGTAGTAGGATATGACACGTATAGAATAAATAAGCATGTAAAAGATCACCGCCAAATTGTTTTAAAGGGATGCAGAGTGTAGTACCAACATTATATAGAACATTGGTTAAATATAGTGAATAGGTTTACATGAATAAAAGGTACACCTAAGCTAACCCGCTAGACTAGTGCTACTACAGTTAAGTGAAGGTACATAGTATTCGTTGAGACAAAGTTTTCCGTGAAGTTGTCTTTGGTTTGAAGAATGCATTTACAAGATACCCTGTTTAGGGGTGTTGCGGGAGCTTTAGTAGGCAGGAGCAGTTGAAGGGGAATCATTCAACCAAGCTGGCTAGGCTCTGTGGCAACTTTTAAAAACCCTTTTTCCGTTTCGAACTGGGTCATGTCTTGTATAATTGTTACAAAATGGAGACTGACACCACACAAGGTGGCGTGTTTAGCCTTGTGGCGTAAAAATCAGTTTCAAAATTAGTTATCTTAAGCAACATGTTTTAGCACTATACAAGTACGATGACTGGATCTGTTTTAGATCCCGCACTGTGGCTGTCTGGCAGTGCCAGGCAGAGCTTATAATAATAGGGAAGCTACATGGCCGAAGTACAGGGCTTTAGAATAAACTGATAGACGCATTAGGTATTTTCGCTCATGAACGTAAAAAGAGTGATGTTTGGTAGGAGGAGGTACAACAGCACATTATTTAAATATCGTGTTGGTTAGTAAAAACAGTATTTAGTGGTACTATTATAAACCTTTGACTGATTTTCATTCAACGCAACAGCTCAATCTCAGATGCACAAATATAAGGCGTTGAATTGTCTCACCCACGACAATCAACAATAATAGCAATTATCAGTTGCCCCTGTGCAAAAGCTTGTCAGCTCATGCTTCGCAGATAGGTAATTTTTAATATTTTGTGCCAGAGGCTTTGTCTGAAATTCCTTGATCCTGACGGCCATTTACATAGCTATACTTCATACCACCGAAACCTTCAGAACATGTAGTGCGCAAAGTCTCTATGGAGAATCAGATCACCGGCAAATCTACGTTCTCCGTTCATATGTATGTTTTTTATTTGAGAAAGCCTGCCCTAGCCATAATAATTTTAATTCAATTCAAAGTGTTGATGTCCTCGTAAAGAGATATTCACACTGCAAACGACAATATTTTTCATTCATAAACTGAGACTTTCCCGTTTTACTGTAACTGGCGTCTGGCAAGACAATCACGCTCACCCACGTCACTCACTATGTGTCAGGCAGCTTATTGAAGAAATTATGCGCCCTCTATTTAAAAAGAACAAACACAGTCACTTGGCAAACACGACGCGATACTTTCGTAGAACTTGCTGTTCATGCAAGATTGTGTGCGTGTGAATTGATAGAAGCCAAACAGAACACACAAAACAATTCTTTGCACACACCAAAAAGCACCCTCATTGCTTAGCCTCCGGATTGTTACAAGCTACATTAACTAAGCACTACTTTAATGCTTTTAAAGGTGGCTATAATGATAGGTCATACGAGCTGTGGAAAGTCTCAACGTGATGAAATAGCATGAAAATTCAGTATTAACCACTTTTAGTCATTTCTTTGCAGTATTTACACATAAAGAAGACGCAGCATATTGAGAAGTTCATTTCAAGATCTTCCAAAAAACTGTAACAACAAAAAAATGTTACTCTACGATATCGCTCGCAAAAATGACGAGCCTTGTGCACGTGAGGTATTCACGAGCTATTGAAAAATCATGTAACAGACGCAATCTAAATAAGCCTGCTATGTTCAGCCATACATGAAGAGCTCGACATAGCAATTTGATGGGCAGAGGATGCCACTAAGGCCCAAGGGCCTTGTCAGACAACTAGGCATAAGATCGCATCATCGAGGCCAATTTATTTTCAAAATAAAGGTCTTTTTCCTTCTACATAGGTGCATTTTCAAGCATCTCGCGCTTGGCAACACTGCGAAATATCACCAAATCCCTTCCTATAATCTGGATCATTTGTTTGTTTAACTCTTTGCAAACATATCTGGTAGTGTGGGTGGTAGTCTACACTGCCATGCAAATGATAGTATTCCTGCCAGACAGCAATAATTAAGAGCAGGCTTGCTTGTGGTGTACTTTGCTTGAAATCTGCGCTATCACTACATTACTTTCAAGAGCTCTGTGTTACATTGATGGCCACATGGCGTTTGTGACCGGGAAGAACCAGGCGTGCAACATCAATGCTACAGGAAAGCGCGCTACATAAACGGTGGTACTGATGTGTACGAAAAAAACGCATCAAGTGCACGTTTTTTGTTGTCTTTGCACGTAGAATGGTCACGAGAGCTAATAAAAGCTTGAGGCTTGATATGTGGGGTTTAACGCTTCAAAACCACATGAATATGAAAGTCGCCTTAGTGAAGGACTCCGGAAATTTCGACCACGTGGAGTTTTTAACGTGCACCCAAGTATGAGCACACAGACTTACAACATTTTCGCCTCCAACGAAAATGCAGCGGCCGCAGGCGGGGTTTTATCCCACGGCCTGCGGGAAGGCAGTCGAGTACCTTAGCCACGAGACCACCACGGTGGGGCAAAAGCTTGAGAAAAGAGAGACAAAAACTTACTCAAAACATAAACAGCGTCCGTTGCCTTGCTACAGGTAGCATTTTTCTTATAGGGGCCTAGGTAGCACAACCTTAAAAGTAGTGCCGCAATTATTTAACGATGGTTTTTATAGTCTCAATGACGCAACTGTGTAACTGAGACATGCCACGTGGCCCGATAGCAACACAATATTTACTGGATAATATAGGCAACGAAAACAAAAAATTTGCTACAAAAAGGTAATATAAACTTAACTAACAGGTGAATTATGAAATTACGCTATATAGAATTGGAGTTGCAGCACAGAACGTCCATCTAATCTTAATTGATACATGCTTCCCTAACCCCTTCCGGTTAATTTTTTTTTTTGTTTGTTCGCGCTTTGATGTAAGTGTCTAAGAGCGAAGAGCAATACAGTTGTTGCCCTGGCATTACATATCTTCCACATCTTTGTTTTTTGTAAAAAGTTGTTGAGTGAACTGTGGTGTTGCAAATGATGGCATTGTTTACTGACGTCACCATCAAAGCCCTGCTTAGATGTTGGTACGTTTGTTCGGTGCTTTGTGGACTTCATCGGCATGTCTGTGGTCATTGTAGGCTTAACTATAATTCCTTTAATGCCACAGTACTTCATAGGGTGAAAAGTGTCAGCTAATGTGATACTCGTGTTCCCTAAGATTTTGTTAAACGCGCTCGCTTTAAACTACAATATACGATACTTTGACATATTTTCCAAGAAAAAGAACGCGATTTAGATTACCGACAAAGACGGCCACTTGCAGATGAGGGTAAAACGCAAGAAACTCGTGTACATAGGATGAGGCCGAAATCAAAAACTCAGTTTGTTCAAATTAGTCCACATTTCTACGTTATAAGGCATTTTCTTTAATATAGCCACCTCA